GAACAAATTACAGCATTAAAAAAAAGAGCTGTTGTTGATAATACACACAAATCTACTCAAAATTGGCTAAAACAATTTGAATTATATCGTCAAAATACAAATCTTCCAGGAACTATTGAAGACATTGCTGATGTTAAACAATTAGAAGATGAACTTATTAAATATTTTACAGTTATGAGAAAAAATAATGAAACTTTTTATTCCACCAGTTCAATTCATTCATACCTTTTTGCATTAAATAGATTTTTTAATAGTGATTTATTTAACATTAAACCAATTGATTTAAATAATAAAAAAATATTTTCAGATTTATGGGCTGTTTTAAATGGAAAATTTCATGAATTATCAGAACTGTGATATGGTGAAATAAAGGGTTCAGATGCTTTAACTTTAGAAGAAGTTAAAATTATTTTAAATAATTTAACTACTTCTAAAGAATCTCCATGTGATTTATTACATAGAATTTTTTTTTATAATGTTATTTTATTGGGTTTATGTGGTGGTGAGCATTTTACATTAGAAGCTTCTAATTTTATTAAACAAAAAAATGAAGAAGGTTATATTGTAAAGATTTATAAATCCAAGACAAATCAAAGAACAGCAAATTGTCCAGGACAAGCAGAAACTTTCAATATTCCCAATTTATCAGATGTTATAGAAACTTATGACAAATATTTTTCTAAAAGACCATTAAATGCTGATAAAGAATTTTATCTTCAACCTATTGAAGATATTGGTCAAAGTAAGTTTATTTTTTTTTTATTTAAATTTGTTATCTAGTATTAATTTTTATTTATTTTAAATTTTACTTTATTGGATATTTGATACAAAAAATTTCATATTGAACAAACTCAATTGAAACAATATATGAAAAAAATTGTTTACGAAACAGGAATTGATTTTACAACTAAAAAAATAACTAATCAAAGTGGAAGAAAGACATTAATTCAATTATTAAAATCTATGGACAAGTCTGATTATGAAACAATAACTCTTTCACGACATAAAAGTCAAAAAGGTTTGGCTAGTTATGAATGACCTCAAGATTTAATTCAAAAAAAAAATTTATATGATCTTAATCAAACTATTAATTATTCAAAAGGTTTATATTTAAATTTCTATATATTTGATTTTTAATTTATATATGCA